GGGTATGGGGGTGTTGGTGGGGTTATTGGGTGTTCTGGACCCAAAAAATAATAATAATAACAATAATAATAATAATATTTTTTTTGCTGGGGGCCGACAACCCCCGACCGGTAGGTGCTGACCAGCCAACCAGTGAAGGGCTGCCGGCCGTCGGGGTATGCAACTCTGCCGGGCGGTCTATTCGGGTGAAGACAGTAGTGTGAGTACGCCTTTCCTTGCAAAAAAGATTGGAAGCGCACAGTTGTAAGCTATCAAAAGGACAGAAACATAAGGTCTTCAAGGATGAATTTGAAAATCCAGTAGTACAGAGACAAAAAAGGGTTCTGTCTGGGTCAATTCCAGGTCCCAAGCACGTCGCAGACCTGAAGCACAGACCTGTACCAGGACAGGATTGGGCATAGGTAACTCCAATACCAGGTGCAGGTTCGAAAATTATAACTTTCCAAGAAAACTACAAAAGGGCTTGGGCCAGCGGCCTAGCTCGGTTGGTTGAGCCCCCAAGTGGTATTCAGGAGGTCGTGGGTTCAATCCCCCGAGGCTGCCTGCAGCAGGCTTGGTGCCCACCAGCTGAGATAGTTGGCTAGCCCCCCCTGGCAAGTTCTATAGAAGCCAAGGTGTCCACCGACCCTTGCTCCTGACATCCCTCGCTGGGGGTTAGAAACCTAGGTACTACTACTCCCTGCACAGAGTAGAGTGCATAGCCATAGGCTTAGGCCACCTAGCAGACAGTTCCACCCCTTCCGCCCGGGCATTGGAACAGGTTGTTCCTGGCATAGATAGGTAGGTAGTGGGAAGTATAATGAGTGAAGAATATAGCTCAGGGTTATAAAAAAAAAAGAAGGCCTCAGGGCTGCCCGGTACCCATGAGATGAGGAGGGAACCAAAGGAGACCGCTCTCACTACCTGGCCATCATGATGGTGCCTCCAAAGGAGCAGTAGGAGAGCTCCTCCCCATCTATGCTACTGTTGGCTGCCGTGTTGTGACATCTCCGTAACGATGTTGAAAGACTGCTTGGCAACAAAGAGGAGGACGAGAGAAAACATGGTTGTCTCCCGTATCTGCTTGGCACTTCACTATGTCGGGCGTTCTATTCGGGAGAGGCTGAAAGCATAACTGACATGGTCGTCTCCTGTACCTGCTTGGCACCTCACTATGTCGGGCCCCGGAGAACAGTGGCTGTTAAACCACCAGTACCTTGACGTTTTTAGGTTGAAAACGCGGTGGCTGAATCGGTGCGCCGTGCAGATCCATATGCATTTGCCTCAGAGCCTCCCCAGAGGGGGCTTAAGACCCCCCGGGGTACTGGTGGTTTAAACCCCCAGTCCCTCTGACCCTCCTTTTCCAGACCCATACTGCTACTGCGCACCCAAAAAAACAAATCAACGTGGCACAAAACATTTTCCTTTTGCATGGCGCCACCAGCCATTTTGGTCCACTAGGCCGAGCCCTCGTGAACACGATGGGTAACCACCACATCGGAGCAAAATAGCTGGGACAGAGACTTCTGCTTTAAGAGAGAAAAATATTTTCTCGACAACTCCCGTTTTGCCCTGTGGGAGCCGTTCACGATTGGCAAGACACTACCGTCTTCACCCGAATAGAACGCCCAGTCATTATACCTGTATTTGGTGCAACTTTCAGTTCAGATACGACAATAATTACCGGGCCTTCCATTCGGGTGAAGACGGTAGTGCCGTTTTCCTCGTTGAGAACCTTAGCTTGAAGAGGTTATGGTGCCGCTTTGGTGGTGGTAAATGCTACCAGTAGGTCGTGCTCCACAGATGTAGAAGCTTCAAACTCCTACAGGAAGAAGGAGATTATCACGATGAGGAGGGGCGGCGAGAAGAGACTTGAGGTGGGTGCGCACAGACACGCACACACATAGAGTCAAAACTCAGCAAGTAAGCACATGGCATACATATCACAAACATATTCACAAAACACAGCAAACAAACTTAGAATCGGGATCTCGATCAAACGGATCGACGGAACAACATTTTCTCAGAAAAGTTCAAGTTCTCGAACTGCAACTGTGTGGATCATTTCACACAGCGCAAAACAAAAACCGAAGCTGAGACGGTAATTACTTCGCAAAGAAAACGAGCGCACTAAAAGAATGAGAAAAGGTTTGGTGGTATTCCCTCCTGTTTTCTTGCAAGCGAATCTGCAACAGGTCATCTAGTACCCGATGAATCATCTTCTGCATTTGTTCCTCTCCACTTTTCCTGTTGGATATTTTTCATTGTCCGTGTCGCGTCACAATACAAGTATGAGCATATGGATTTCACTTCAACGAATACAACAAGTGAAGTATTATAACCCCTAGTGAGAGCAACAATTGACTGTGAACATCAGCCACCAAGGCCTGTTTCTGGTATAGCAGGGACTTGAAACACTTCATCAGCTTAAACCCACTAGTACCTCCACCAGTGTTGAGAAAATAGGGAAAACTGGCAGTTTTCCCAAACTCCTAAAAAATTGGAGGCCGCACCCGATGACGGCTGCCATTGATGAATCTCATCGGCAGCCGTCGTTTTGTTTTGGCCTCCTAAGAGGTCGGAGGCCCACCCAAGGCCCCGCTATGTTCCCACTCATGCAAAGGTACTAGTGGTTTAAGGCCCAACTTGCTGCAAAGCATGCAGGGATCAGGAAATAGGACATGCGCATCAAGCATTCACCCTTTGATCATTGTCAAAGCCACTGACAAAAACAAGGACTAACATGGCGTGACTAATGCATACGTGATTTTCTCATTTATCGACGACCTTACTCGGGAACTCCCTCTGCTGCTCTTTCCTCTTTATAAAAAAGAACCGTATTTGCCAACTCTTTCACTCCTTTTCTCTCGTCGCAAACGCACCTGAGGGGATGGAAGAAAAACAACTTTTGAGCCGTTCCCACAACTCTATGATCCCTCTTCTTAGCCTCCTCCTGAGCATGCAAGTACTCCTGAGGGACAACACATACATAGTACATACATATGCCACATCATTAGGACATAAGAATCATCCAGACACCCACTCTAACGAGAGGCATCCGTATAAGAAAAGGATTTGTTGTTCAAGTTAATACCCAAATGGACAAAGGCGGTCAAGCAAAAACCCAGGTAGAAGGAAGCCTCCAAGTACTTATTGTTGGTTTAACTGGGAAATAACTCTCCACAAATTTGTTTCAGTAAAAACAACCAGCCTTTTGTCATCGAGCTTCACCTTTGCTTGGGCTTCCATCATCTCCTTGTCACTCACAAAAGGGCTTTCACATCCCCGATCATGCCGTACATGGACCGACCACCTCCAACTCAAGGTGAGGGAAAGCCAGCTGAAAGCGAGCAAGAGATTCCAGAACACTGTGATCCCCCGCCGCGGCCACCCGATAAGTCCATGAGACAGTTATAAATACTCCGTTTCTGCTTTTTTTTGGGGGGGGAGGGGGGGGGGAAACAACTCCATTTCTGACCTGTCAGCTGACACTCAGCATGCTGCCCTCATTCAGTGGCTTTCCAGAGATAAAAATGCCTATGTACAATTCGATGAGCACCCAGGTTTTCAGACCACTTGACGCATAAGAATTTGAAATGAAGTTTATGAACACCAATCTCGACAGGGAACAAAATTTGGTGATGTACCCTATACCTTCAGACTCTTGCTGTCTGGGTAGGATATGCCATACACCCTCTGAAGCGTTTCTCTGTCCGCACGACCTCTCCAATATGCTGCTGATGCCTGCACAAATTGCCACCCAAAAAGCCAAATAAATCATTGGCAAGAACTCGCCATGCCCCCACTTCTAAGAAGAAGGTGCCACATCACTCCACTCGATAAAAAAAGACTCCGTACGGGGACGAAAATGCACCCCAACCATGCAATATAATTGGCTAACTTCGTGCACATCATTGCCTTGACAGTCGCTGTGGTCAGAATTCACGTTGCCGGTCGGAGGGGGGGGGGGGGGGGGGGGGGGGGGGGGGGGGGGGGGGGGGGGGGGGGGGAGGAGGAGAAATGAAGGGCAGGACAAAAAGAGTGGACCCCAAAAAACTAACCTTTGTGCACGCCATTGCTTTGACAGATGATGTGCTTGGAATATGAGGTCCTCGGCACAAATCAACCAGATTTCCACACCTGTACACCGTAATTGTCTTCTCCGGCGGAAGCTCTTTGATAATCTCAATCTGCGATTCCGGCAGAGGAATCCACATTGGCAACACCACAGAGATCAGCATGAAACATATAAACGCCCATCAGCATAGGACCCACAGCCTAATCCCACATACATAGACAAAGGCTACGCCAATCATCCTGAGCTTCGACAATTTCTTTCCCCGCCCATTGCTGCAGTCACATTCAAATGCCAACACCCGGCTGCAATCACCCTGCAGTTGTGTTGTCAGACTTCTTCTTTCTGTGACATTCCATCCCATAGCTGTTTATTTTCCAGTGAATTTCATCAGCATCATATTTGTTAATTAATGTTTTCGTTTACACGACTTCAAGTAACTAATGCAGTTATTAAAGCAATAAAAGTCGAGCAGCACCCCTAGCTCTTGGGAATGATTGACAATAGATCTCGGGGTTTGGGTTGTGCCTAAGCAACAGATCGCATGTATCATCTGTATAGTCTATTTTCATCAGAGTCCAATACATCACTAGGTGACCCGTTGCAGCTTCACACACACCTGTTCAATTTTTTCATGTAGCACGGAGAGGGATGAAGAGAGAGAGGGTGGCCTGGAGTGGAAGCATGGAGAGAAGGGGGGGCAAGGAGGAGAGGGGATGTGTGGAAAAAACGGTGTGCTTTGCACGTGTGCCACCATGTGCAGCATGGTGCGCAAAAAATATGTCCTGCAAATGTGCGCTGTGCAAGTGTGCCGCCATGTCCAGTGTGGCTCATGAACACTAGACGCATAGCACCAAAAATCAGAAATCCATCCAAAAAAATACCGTTTCAGATTTTTTTTTTTTTTAATCGAAGAATGCTAGGCTACCAGCTTGGCAGCCCGAGGACCTTGTTTGCACCGGCCCCCCCCCCCCCCCCAAAAAAAAAAAAAAAAACAAAAAAATAATATGTTACGCAGGAAAAAAAAGTGAACAACTTTTGGCTCAGGGTCACATTGCAATTCTTCACCAAATAAAAAATAAAAATTATTTATTTATTTATTTATTTATTTATTTTTATTTTTTTTGGCCCGCCTGGGTACATTCACAATACACCATGTAATTCATGCACAGTGCACACATTACATTCTAGATTAACATGAATCGTTTGGTAGATTGCATTTATATTTTGACTGCTTGGTGGATTGCATTTACATTTCGATTGCACTGAATCTCTCTCACACATGCACACATCTACAGGAGTTAAACTGTGTGTTATGTACAAAACAAGCATTCAATTTTCCATTGAATTTCTCTCACACATGCACACATCTACAGGTGTGAAATTGTGTGTTATGTACAACACAAGCATTCAAAGCTATCTATCGACACACATCAAACGCATAATTCCAGGGTCTTTTCGGAGCCTATTGAACAATTAATTGAATTAAACCAAAAATCCCTTTCTTTTTCGACCCTTTGGGGTTGTGTCTCATCTAAACAACAAGCAAAACCCACACTGTAAGCAATGTTCGATCAGCAGGAAACCACAAAAAAGTACGGCCGCTCGCCCTAGCCAGTGACCGACGAGCTTTCCATCACATCACAGGTAACACCTACTCCATTTATCTCCCATGTCCAGTTTCCATCATCTTACCTTGAACGTATTTGTTGCAAACATCTCCATCGCCTCGTCCCGAGTCACTTCGATCCTCTCAAATGGCTGCCTCTCCTGGACTCACCACAAACACACAATCAATCGATGTCAGACACAGAATTGCACATTATAGGAATCATTAAAAGGCACCAGCTGCCAAAACGGAGCCAGCTGGACAGAGCAGAAACCGCAACTTGCCGGCTGTGTTCCCATGAGAACAGAAATTTGCCAGCCGGATGGAGCAAAAAAAATAAAAGAAAAAGAACCATCGCAAAAATTGTGATGCAATCATGCAAACAGATGCACAGCAATGTATAGTCATCATAAGCTCAGAAGCCCAAAATCATTTACATTTGGAACAAGATCGTCCTATGCCGAATACATCCAAACAGTAGTAGGGTATCGACGTCTCGGGATGGCTCATTAATTCCACTGGACTATCAAGACTCCCGACAGCAGTTTTGTGGTCTCAGGACCACCATTTATCATCCGGGCCCAAAATGACCCAACACATGTTTCAGTATTATCATCCTAATCATAACACAGAGCCGCCAAACGCAAAAGGAATTATCATGATGGCTCACTAATTTCAATGGACGATGAAACTCTCTGGCAGCAGTTTTGCATTCTCAGGACAACTGTTTATCACCGGGGCCCAAAATGACCCAATCCATGTTTCAGTACTGTCATCCTAATCATATCACAAAGCTGAGGAACGGAAAAGTATTAATAACTCAGTAACGATGGACTATTTCCATCCCTCACTTATAGGCGTGACTCATTTGCGTCAAGCTAACTATCACATCCTTCCTTTGCCCCCCCACATCCTCCCTTTGCGCCCCTCTCCCCCCCCCCCCCCCCCCCCCACACACAACCTTCCCTACGGCACTTGAAAACCTCCGGGGTTTCTGTAGGCAAACTAGAAATGCTCAGAGTCCACAGAACCAGACAGACATGGAACGAGCAAGAGAAATAGGGAAGTGTTGACACAAAGACCCTTTCCTGCTGGAAAATATGTGCCCAATCCCTCTTCCAGCCGCCGATTTGTGGCCCCCATGCACACCATTCCAAAAGCAGCGAAGCAAAAGGGAGAGGAAAAACGACAGGCATGAGTAGTGAGGTAACTCCTGTAAAAGGAACCTGAAAACTATGAACCGATGTATGAGAACAATCACAACCTGGCAGGCAATGGCAAACTCATAGAGCTCTCTTCTCCACTCCCCCAGGCCCCGTCCCATCTCTCTCTCTCTCTCTCTCTCTCTCTCTCTCTCTCTCTCTCTCTCTCTCTCTCTCTCTCTCTCTCTTGCCCCACACCACATCAATGTCCACGTTTTGGCAGGTTGGTACGTCTGAGCGGTCATAGAGTGTGCAGATTTCAGTCTGCTCAGCATGTATTCCACCTGAATACAGGCACACATTCATCATGGATATCCGATGAAGATTGTGAAACTCGAAGCAGGATACAGCCAAGGAAAAGGTTACTACTTCATCCCCGCCCATTAGCATACCTTTGCAATCTTTTCAACGCATTTCTCAATTGGCTTGAAGTTGGCTTCACTTAGCGTCTTTTCTCCATAAAACCCATCGTAATAAAAGCCCTGCAATCAGAATCAACACATGAGACATTGGCCACTGCTCTGTACTCGAAACAATCACCTTCCATATCTGATGAAACACAGAATACAATCTGAATGAACATAGGCTACAATCCTTCAGGACAAATCATGAAACCATAACCGACAAATCATGAAAACCCCAACCGTAAATAGACTGTAGACAGAAAATTCAAACCAGCAGCTGCCCGTACATCACGTACTTCGCAGCAGCATTCACAAGAAGATGCCATTACCGCTAACATTGAGAAGTCGATAAAACCAACAGCGTAGCACGTCCTGCTGACAACATAACTACAAAGATGAGCAAGACAAGTCCAATCTTCATCATCATCACATACGCCATGTTCCTCTCTACTTTCCTTCTTCTTTCCCTCCACCTTCCCCACCCTTCTCTTCCTCCGTCAATACCTAGGTCAAGCTTGGACCTTGATGCTGAACTCTATGTTAGACAACTGTTGCTGTGCTCCTTGATGTGAACCCAACTCCAATCCTCGCTCTTCAACCCATCTTTAAGCCTTCAAAGTTTAAACTTTTAACCAAAACTCGCCTTCCCAGCTATTTCATTCTTTGGCGGCCGTTAACGCGCCGTGTTGTTAAGGGCTCGGCCGCCAGAAACGAAAATGGTCGGAGGTACCGGGGGTTTAAGCCAAGAATACCTGTTACAACCGCTCTGGCAACCTATTGGCCTGCCATTCTTCAGTTGGCTCGCGGGATTGACAATTCTTGATTTTATTGTCTCCGGGAGCTGACCCGATATCCCAATTTGACGTTTGCCTAGCATTATCATCCATCATCATAGTGTCACCACATACTCAGCTCATCACTGTTGCTGTCATCACAAGATTGCCCAGGAGGTTCTGCTCACAATGAAAAGGCTCAGGCCCTGCTTGCCGCCACGCCCCAGTCACAGCCAGCTCAACCTAGTTTAACCATCAGGTCATGATGTTGGTCTATGACCTCAATGGAGCCGTATCATGGGCCATCCATTCTCGGTAACTAAGGAAAGAGAGCCACACAAACATCTGGGCACTGTTTTCCAACCATGCCCATTTAACCATGCAACTCAAACTCTGACCAAAAAAGAAAAAAGCCTGAGGAAATCCTTACCTCTCCTCTTGTCGTACAAGGTCCAATGCACAGATGACAATTGTATTCAATTTCCAAAGCCTGCAAAAGATCAAAATGGGATCAAGAATCACAGAACAGTCAACATCAAACTCAAACCTGAGCACAAAGCCAACCAATACATAATATGATATTAGTGATTAGTACTGATTACAGGCAGCATTTACATACCAATATCATGGCAATATGCACAATCACGCGCATGCCCACAAAAGAGAGCAACCAAGAGAGAGAACGAGGGATGGAGAGAGACGGAGAGAGAGCCAGAGAGAGCCAGAGAGAGCCAGAGAGAGCCAGAGAGAGCCAGAGGGAGGGAAAGGAGGGCAGAGGGATAGAGAGGGAGAGGGAGAGGGAGAGAGAGGGAGAGAGAGAGACAGATAGAGGGAGAAAAAGAGGGAGAGAGAGAGAGAATCAAGCAGCAATCACAACCAAGAGAGAACGAGAGATGGAGAGAGACGGAGAGAGACGGAGAGAGGGAGAGAGAGGGAGAGAGAGGGAGAGAGGGAGCCAGTGAGAGCCACGGAGAGCCAGAGAGAGCCAGAGAGAGCCAGGGGGAGGGAAAGGAGGGCAGAGGGATAGAGAGGGAGAGGGAGAGGGAGAGAGAGGGAGAGAGAGAGACAGAGATAGAGGGAGAAAAAGAGGGAGAGAGAGAGAGAATCAATCAGCAATCACAACCAAGAGAGAACGAGAGATGGAGAGAGACGGAGAGAGAGGGAGAGAGGGCGAGAGAAGGAGAGAGAGGGAGAGAGGGAGAGACGGAGAGAGGGAGAGAGACGGAGAGAGAGGCAGAGAGAGGAAGAGGGAGGGAAAGAAGGA